GTGTTGGTCATAGTGCCACCTTGCCAAACCGTGTTGCTGTGCCGCCGCTACGAACGATGTGGTTCGGAGTTGTGCGCCTCCTCTGACTCTTGCCCCACCTCCGAGAACGTGTCCCCCCTGCGTCAACACGTGCCCCCAATGCCCGGCATGGCTTGTGGGAACCGTTGCCACGTCGCAGGCGCAGGCTGCCACAACCTCAATGGTGCAGGTGTTGTGGAAATCCGGCGCCTGCTGATTGTGTTGATCATGTTTGTTGGGCATGTTGTTCATGTTTTAACTGCCCATCCCATGCAACTCATGCAAGCAATCTCGTGCATGCATCCGTCGGTTCCCCATGCCCTCCTCCGTCTCCCCCTCCCCCGCCGCCAGCGCCGTCCCATTGGCGCAACCCCCTCGCTGCTTCGGGCAGCTTTGAGTCACCTGCCAGCTCTATTCGGCCTCCTTTGCGTCGTCGTACGGGAAATGCGGTGGGCGCTCGGAAGTAGGCGACTCCGATGCCTCCAGCATCATTCGCCTTGCAGCGCTGAATCGTAATGGGTTATGGTCGAGGGCCGGTCGCCTAAACCGCGCTTTCCATGGTTTTACAAGGTTCTTACGTAATCAGATGTGTCATGTTGCCTTCCTCCAGGAAACCAACACGCTCGTGGTGGCAAGTCTGCCTCAGGACCAGCCTTGCTGGTTTGATGGTCTTGAAGACACGCAGCGACATGATGCAGCTTTCCTGGTTCATCGTGACATAGCCGCTTCTTGTGCACAAATTCCGGGCATCAGAAGTCATCCCGATATTTGCTGGCGACTGTTGAATCATGCGGAAGATCAAACTTCCACAGCCATAGCCTCCTTCTATGCACCCCATGTAGGCAGTTCTGAACCCGAGCGTATTGCATTTTGGCAACGTTCGTCGGAATCCGTCAGCGAAGTTGTTGATGCACTGCCTGGCGTTGACATAGTGCTCATGGGTGATAGAAATGTTTGGCTTCCAGGTTTAGTGGAGGAGCGCGGTGCTCGTTCAGCTGACCGCGCATGTGTTGAAATTTCTAATGTAATGTTACGGTCTTTCTGTTTGGAGGTTGCGAACCCACCTGATGCTCCGGCACACGTGCGCGGAGCGGCACTCGATTTGGTTATCGCACGACCTGGGCTGGTGCAGAGTGTTCAGGTTCATAGTAATTACCATTGTTCATGTTCAGTCCAGGCTCGCAGGCACGTCATGTCAAGGATTGGATTCATTTGATCCATTCACAACGTGAAAGTATTGAAGCATGGGCCGGTCGTGTTTCTGGTCGATTGGCCATGGCTTCACTGGCCACCCATGTTGATTGCAGAGAAATGTTGAATGATCTGTACAATGATTTGTTGGATATTGTTTGGAATGCACATCCTTCCCTGTATGGCCACCCCAAGCCAAACTCAAAAACACAACCTTTTTGGTGGACTGACGCTTGTTTTGATGCACGTGCCGACTTATTGTGCATTTCTTGACATACGTGAGGCATTTGACGTTGCATGGCGTGATGGTGCCATGTTGCGTTTGCACAGGGCTGGTGTCTCTAATGACCTGTGGCATTTGATCGACGACTAAATTTCAGATCGCTCGGCAGCCGTACGTTTTGATTCGCAGTTTTCGGACACGTGGGATGTTGAGGATGACATTGGGCAGGGCGCAGTTCTGAGTGGCTTTCTTTCTAATATCTTGATTAATGGATTCGCCGCTGCAATCAAGCGAGCATGCAACGGGGTTTCTTGTGGTTTGTCCGGGGAAAATGTAAACGTCAAACTTCTTCTGTATGCGGATGACATCGTCATTTTGAGTGATAGCCCTGCCGACCTGCAGCGCGCGCTTGATGCAGCTCATGCTTGGGCGTTGTTTTGGCGCTTTCATTTTGTAGTCGGCCCCAAGAAATCTGCAGTCATGATTCTAGGCCGTGGTCGTGGCCGCAATCGTGCACCTGCCTTCTCTTTAGGTGGTCAGGTTTTGCCGCGTGTTAAAACTTACATGATGGGCATGGCCAGGGCATGGCTGCTACGACCGTACGCAATGGGATGTAAGCGTGGCACTGGCTGCCACTGCGAGTACAGCCGCAAGCTGTCAACATGATCCAAATTTGAAGCATACCTTGCGTGGGACCTGCTGACTAAACTCAGCCGGGCATGTTGCAACCACTTCTTTACAACATCTCCCGCGCAACCGGGGTGGATACCCCATTCAACCAGATGCGGCACACCAGCGCTTGTCACATCACGTGACACGGACGAAACCCAGGATAAAGAATGTTGGTCGACAAACCGTGCAAGCTGTCCTGCGAAGCAATCTGGTGGTAAGCTCAAAAGGCGTGCCCATAAACCGGCTGCTTGAATGAGACGCATCGTTTCGGCACCATGCCACCCAAGCTGGCCTTGAACAGCGAGGTTGGGTGAACCACGTGGCCAGCACAGAAGGCGCCGACCCCACTGAAGGACGCGAGCTTGAAAACGTGCTATCTGCGGGCCTGCGGAAACAAATGCCAGTCCGAAGGAGACAGAAGAATGCACAAATGTCTGATAAACCGTAGTTGTCAATCGTGTCAGGCATGTGGATGTTCGCAGTTTCATTTTTGGTTGTTCTTTGCGCTGGTTGTGGTTGTCGTTCTTGGACTGAGTGCTTGATGCATATGACAACATGATTGCATGTTTCACGTTCTGACCACAACAGATGGTCGTTCAAGGACAAGCCTCTCTTACGCAACAGCTGGGCCTTCACAAGCAGGACACGGACCGCCCAGGTGAAGATGTAAGATCGTCGGCATGTCGATTTGTCACGGGAGTTGGACATCCACTCGCCAGCGAGGTCTGGGTAGCGAGGTACCGTATGGCGACGTCCATCACCTTCATCGTCAAGGGCCGGGTCGTGTGCATCATGAGATGTCGAAAACCCGGAGCAAGACGAATCCATGGAGGAGGTCGCGATGACGCATCACGGCTGTGTGGAGTGCTCGGGGAATGGTCCATGTGTGTGTCGTGTCAGTCCGGCAGGAGTGAGGTGTGCTGAACGTCAATAAACAAAGGCAGTCAGGACCATCCACATTGTCGACAATGACCACCCCCAAGAAACGCATGCACAACGACAATGTATCTCCGCATCACTGGCTCCAAACACCGGCCGTCAGCAACGGGCGTCGTCTGCAACGCTTCCGGTTCGAACAGACGTTCTGCCGCATCAGGATTGTACATGCCCAGCCCCTGAACTGGCTACCGCAAGTGAGGAGGGCAGTGCGCATCACGCGTGTGCAGAATCCGGGCGTCGCCCTTTGTTTCAACAGAGTTTGCGAGGCCCGGGCCAGAATAAGACTGCAAGCGCCTGTAACACTGTCCATAGGATGCAATGCTTTCGTGCTCCTCAGAAATGTCGTAGCAAATAGAACGAGGTGGACACAACTGGTGATATCGTGGATGCGATGAGGCGAAGCTGTCATAGCGGTGACTCGGAACGACCTGTGCCTGCCTCGAGACAGAACGTCTGACGAACATAAGGCCCCCCAGACACAGCAACTAACACGGTGTGGTAGAAACGCTCAGCACGGGAAATTGTCTGCGGTCGATGTGCCAAGGAGCGCTCATGTCAAGTGCTGCCGGGCACCCCGTAGCATCATCATGCGTAAAGCGAACAAATCGTTCAAGTCCGCGTCGCCCGCATTCCCGACCAAGCTTGTGGGACCAACAATGGTCGGCGGCACTTCGCTTGAACGACCATATCGCCAGCAATGTGGCTGCTCAGGCCAGGCAAGCGAGTAAAAATGATGCCACACTTCGGTGCAAGTTTCGGTTATCGATGTCATGTCATGTCATGTTGATTTTCATTCCGGCATCACCATAGCCGAGTGAGGGCCGAGATGCGGAACCATGGCATCTAGCGTGGCTGTTGGCCAAACCGTACCTGTCCCTGTGTCGGTATCACAATCGGGATTTTGCACAGTGTCCCACGTGGCAGTATCGGCATTGTCGCACATGGTGCAAACCTGACCTTCTCCGGAATCCACGGCCCACGCTGCAACTGCAAACTGTTGAGGTGCGTCCGGCTCGTTCTGTGCAAGTCACGCGGAGCCACCGAAACGTTTCGTGAGAAACTCGGAAATTGCAGGCCAAGGCCCAGCCCCGATGGATGAAGCTCCCAAGCCACGCGGAACAGATGGCCCACCATTGCACGAGGAGGCAAGGTTGCCATTGATATTTGCTGGACGTCCGGTCTGCAAGCGGAACCTTTATGAAAACCAGATTGTGGCAACGTTCGCACGGTTGCTTTCTTGCTTTTGTACTTGCCCTTACCTCCCTGGGATTTGTCGCCTTGTACTGTATTTTTCGCGTTTTTTCGCGTTCCAGAGTGATGTGCAATCAAACCGTTGATGGCGTAGACGAAGACGTCTAAGTCCACAGATGCTATTTCCTGGTACTGAAAACCGCAAAATCGCATCCAGTATTACTGAGCTTCTGCTCGCCGGAACCCACTTGGTGGCGATACTAGGACGCAAAAACATGTAGCTGTCAAGCTCCGACCACCTCGAACAACTGCTGCAAAAACCTTCACAGTATGCTTGCTTTGCCATGCCGTGTGTCCAAAGACTGCTTTTGCGATGACATCATTGCGCGTTGTTGTCCGGGATACTGAACAATGCGACTTGCTTTGGCTCGAGATCCCTTCGAGAGGCATGGGTGCACAGTGTGATGGCCGGACTGGTGCGGGACTCAGGTTCAGGATGGCATGCACAGACAACAGGCGATCAGAATCAGGCTTGCAAGAACTTGCGGGTCGTGGAGGGTCTTGCAGGCAGTGCATCAATGAACATGTCGATTGGACGGATCTCGGTGGTTCTCGTGCTGCCTTTGCGTGAATTGAAGCAGGCTTCGGGTTGGAACAGAGGAGTTCGGTACACGTCTGGGTTGCTGCTGCTGGGCACGATATGTTTATATCCCGATGCCGTCCGCCTTAGTTGGCTCCAGCCCATGTGTTGCCTTAAGACCGCACCATGCAAGATGCACTGTGGGAGGTGGCTCCTGAAGCCAGTGTAGTCGCATCAGCTGGCGTGGTTGGAGGTTCATTGCTCAAAGTACTCGATTCCTTTGGTGCCGTGGCCACAGGCATATCCGGTGCTGCAGTTGGTGCCGTGTCTGCCACAGCTGGTGCTTTGGCAGCCAAGGCCCTGACCGAACGCAATGAGCGTGCAGCCATTGAAAAGCGTTTGTTCGAGGTAAAACGACATGCCCCGCAAAGCAGTCCTTTGTCCTTGGAGCCTTTGGTGGCTGTCCGGCAAATGTTTGAAGCCATCGACTGGTGTCTGGCCAACGAGGAGAGGCATTGGACACGCCAAGGTCCGGCATCACTGGCTTTCAGTTGCTTCTCAGGAGAGGGGACACGCGGCGGTCCTTCGAAGAATGCAAGCACATCCGCAGACAAGGATTATCGCAAGCATTTGAAGAAGGTGCGCGGATTGTGTTCTCCCACGCCACTGCGTGGCCAAGCTCGCGGAAGGTCGCAGCAGAACAAGAAAGATGGAGCTAAAGGCATCGCAAGTGAAGCCGGGATAATTTCAGGATTAACCGTGCCAGGAAGCAGCCAAGCTTATGAGCGTCTCTTCAACCCACAGTGGGGGACCGTTCGAAGCAAGCAAGGGGTTTGCGCCGCCTTGGCATACCTGGTCAGCCAGTTTCTCGAGTTAAGGCATTGTCCGAAAGGAAATCTGCTTGATGGTGAGAGGAGCTCGCTCAGACTGGCCGTGACATCTTTGGCGCGACATCACATATTCGACGAAGAAGACAAGGCAGCGCACGTGTTGAAAGTCACGCGCCTCCTTCTTCCGAGTGGAACTGCTGCAGAGCCGGACGAGATTGAGGAAGCAGAGGAGAAGCGGTGGAAGACCCAGCCTGACCAGGAACAGGAGCAGTGTGGCAGCAAGTGCTGATAGTGTCAGACTCGTTGTGGGGCCTGGGCTGTGTTACAAACTGTTCATGCATGCGAACGTGCTAGGTTCCGTGCCGCAGCCGTGGCCTTGGTTTGCCTTTTGGACGCAGCATTGGCCTGGCGGCCGTCTGATCCGCTAGGATGGATGGGCCAGGCAGAGGATGCAGAGGGTGCAGTTCTGGCCCGCGAGATACTTGCAAACCAATGAGATCGTGATTAAGATTGAAGGAACATCATGATGAGTACTGTGGCGGTGTCGGTTCCTGTCATGCCAGTTAATTCCATGCTGGTAGGCTTATAAGCTGGTCGAAGAGAAAGCTCCTGAGCATTCGCCATGCTGATTTGCACCGCAGTGTCAAGGAAAGTGCCGAATCGTTTCGCATCCACGAAGCCCAGAGCAATGCACGGAAGACAGCGACAAGAAGCAGCAGCAGCCAGTGAAAACACGCGTGGCGAAAGCTTCATTCCGAAGTTCTGCAAGCTTACCAGCTTGTCGAAGCAAGTGCATTCTCAACTCAGCTTGATGAACTCCATCCACCCAATCCTGTTTAATCTCTTCCTGCCCCAGCTTTTTGTTGCATTTTCGTCGAGACACAAGCTGGCAATCGTTAAATGTGCCCAACTGTTTCTTCTTTACATGCATGCAGCCTGCAGCTGCACAACGCCAAGGAAAGGCGTCTGTTCCTTTCCGATCTTTGCCAGCAAGGTCCGCAGATGTCTCAAGAAGGCGAGCGCCGGTTGCTCGATTACCTGGCGTCGGTTGGAGGTGCATCTGGATGCCGTAAGGAGCTAAGGGGAAGAGCTGGAAGAATTTGGATAAGTACTGTAGCGTTTTGGAGGTGCAGCCTGCAGCCTGCAGGACCAGAGCTCTTCCAGAACCTTGGCCTTGGATTTGGGTTCTGAATGAGGAGGCAGGTGAAACGGATTGAAATTAGTGAGCCACAAGGCCTGCATAGATTTTTCATTCAAAACGACGGTTCGTCCAGGCGTCCATGCTTGTGCGGAACCGGACAAAAGTGCCACTCCGCGTGGAGCTTCATCAACCGAAGGGCGCGCAGCTCTCACCGTTGGCAGATTTGCCACTTTTGAAGCCAGTCCTGCATTGGCTTCGTGGCAAAGCAGCACCAATTCTAGCAGCTGACGTCAAGCCTGGAATCGAGTGGGCCCTGCGGCCGAAGGTGAAGGAAGGGCGTGACTTCAGAGTCAAGTTGCTAACAGCTGCCGGTGTGCTTGTTTGTACACGGCCTCTGCGCCGTGGGCAATCTTTTGATTTTCACGTGCCTGTACCACCGCCTCCTGCACAACTGCGAGTGTCTGCTCTCGCATCGAAGCGGGACAGCATGGAAGCTGGCCCAGTCTGCCGGATCAAGGTCATGGACGAGGCGGCCAAGGCCTTCGGTGTTAAGGAACACGATGAAGATCACGATGGTTCCATATGCTCAACGACAGCTCCATCATTTTCCTCGGGACGTTTCAGCCTTGCCAGCACCTCAGCGTCCAGCACTTGGCCTCCCAGCGCAGGCGGCTTGGAATGTCTTGGCATGTGCTTGGCTAGCGGCTAAGCGTTGTGGCTGTGTCGCTTTCACCCCACTTCATTCATTCCATGTCCTCTCAAAAAGCATGTCGCAGTCAAAGTACAGAGTTCGAGGATAATCTGTGCAACAGTGGCTGACAAGCAACAGGACAAGTATTCCTGCAGCACTAGCAGGAATAACATAGCACAGAGCAATCATAACAACAGCAGCAACAGCAACGACAAGAAAACTTTCAACGACAACGACGACCATGGCAGCCACAGCAACCAGCGCTAGTGCCAGTGCCAGCACCAGCACCAGCACCAGCAGCACAAGCACCAGCACCAGCACCAGCACCAGCACCGGCACCAGCAGCAGCAGCAGCAGCCGCCGCAGCAGCAGCGGCCGCGGCGGCGGCGGCGGCGGCGGCTGCAGCGGCGGCATCGGCAACGGCAACGGCAACGGCAACGGCAACGGCAACGGCAACGGCAACGGCAACGGCAACAGCAACAGCAACAGCAACAGCAGTCAGTCACTCGCAGCGGGAGAAGTCCTCGAATGTCTCGGCTCGCTTCGCGACGCTGTCCTAAGAAGTCATGGCTTCTGAGTACTCTACCTGTGCTATCAGTTGCTTCAAAGCTCAAGGGTTGAACCACTCAGCTCTGAGTAAACTCAGACGCTTTTCTGACTTGGATGTGCACGGTGAGTCAACAAGTTGCAAAATGTCGCCTTGAAAGTTTCTCCTTTTGGCAGAATCAAGCGTGGCAAAATGCCAAAATCCGTCTGCCGTATCCTTGCTGGAATCTAGCGGGAGCAGCTCCCCGAGTTCTCTCAGGGAGTTACTCCACTGAGAAAACATGCTTCTGCACAACGACTGGGAATCCGCTCTCCATCTTGATCATATAAGTCGCCGGTTCGGACAGACTGGAAGCTGGTGATGCAGATGGGGGGTACTTCATCAGGAGTTAAGTAAACCCCATTTCGACTAATGAAAAAGCGCACCCCTTGTTCTACCGCTTTGCGGGTAGAGATGCGGACAAGCATAGTCGAACTTTCCCGTTTGCCCGAAACACCTCCAGTGTCGTCAAAGAAGTGGACATGCTGACGACCTTCGCGGCCCTTCTTGCCACCTTTTCCTTTGGGGTACTGGGCCTTGCCTGGGAGCAGACCACGTTGCTGTATGCTCTCATAGCTGTGCCATGAGGTTCCATGGAGAAGAGTATCAGGGAGTTGCTCCTCTAATCACGGCTCAAGGAGGTTTTCCTCGCCCACTTCAGCACGTGAATGCCCCTGGACAGCACGTATGAACCTGCAACCATCGCTCCTAAGGCCGAGCTGGTACCTTTGCTTCTTGTTGCTCCGTACGATCTCGAGTAGGTCCCCCCCGCTCGTGGCTGAAGTTTCGGAGATTCGGGGCCATGCTAGTACCTCCTCCACGTTCACGGCTAGCCTTGGTCTATGCCCGTGACGGAGACAGGCGGCCAGTGCTTTTGACACCGCGAAGGCAACGGGGCTGTCAGGGTCTTTGGCAGCGTCGCAGTAGTCTCCCATCGACCCTTCTCTGCCCGTCCGTGGATCATCCGCCACCGTCATCACCACATCGCTGCTGGAAGCTGCCAAACTCGAGGTTGTTGCTGCTGCTTGGCTGACAGATCCTGCCTCTTCCGGGGGAGCTTCTCCACCCAGGCTGGACTTCAAGGGAGTTGCTCCACTTGAATGTCCAAAGTCTGTCACAGGTGCAGGCAGACGATCCCCGAGACTAAGGGTTTCAAAGGCTTGCTTCGCCGAGCTGAGGGGAAGCTCCAAGGCACCAGCCCACTCCATTAAATATTCGGAGACGTGCAGACTCTCCTTGGTTGCGATGCGCAAGTGCACCGCCACGATCTTCACGCTCTCGAAGGTTTGTATAAGCTGGTTTGTTTGTTTACCAGCTCTCATATTCCCCTCGGCATCAAAGAGCACCTCAATGCAAGGTTTAATGAATATGTGCTTGTTGCCGCATCTGGTAAGCGAACTCTCATTCTCGGCGAGATGGCGATTCATGGGCCGATGAAGATAGACGCCTCCTCTGTCAGTGAATGCCCGAGTCCCAGCGAGTCCAGGATCACTTGGCAGCAGCATGCCAGTGGCAAGGATAGCATGCATGCAATCCAAATGTGTTCCGTGGAACCCTGTTTCAGGCTGGTCGTCGCCGATGTCGAGCTTGTTGGGGGCTGTGAAGGGGAACTTGTACCAGTATCCCGGATAGGCAGTTACTGGTCCCAGCTTCAGAAGTAGGTCCTCTCCATTGAAACCCTTCCTCGTCTTCAAAAACGAGGTCATAAGTGCGCTGGCAAGGGCTGCCGTCGGCTCTTGGCAGCTGCTGAGTCCCTCAATCAGCTTCCTGGTTGAGGAAACCGAAAGGCGGCCGGTGTTGATATCAGAAATAGATCCCCCGCATGACGGTACAAGATCTGGGAATTCTGGGTATCCGGCTGCTGCCAGGTCTGAGCTGCTTCCGTTTCTCTTTCCTGTAGAGCCTGTCGCTGGGCCATCTGTGCTGCCGTGGCTGCCGGGGGAGTATCTCTACCCTTGGCCTTGACAGCAGGGGGAGCTCCTCCACCCTCTGTGCCATCCTGCCTCCTTTTGGGAGGGGGTGGAGGGGGAGTTACTCCACCCTTTCCACCTTTACCTCCTTTTCGAGGCGAGGCTCCCCGCGTCCCACGTGCCCCTCTTCTGAGCGTTTCCACTGACAGAGGTAGTTTCGATACGAAACTTTGGGGACCTTCTGATGCGCGACGAGCCGAATATTCAGCGTATTCGGCTCTGTACGTGTCGTCCTGCTGCGACATTACGCTGCGAGGCTCCTATGTTTACTTAAGTTGAAGGAGCGATAGACTGGAGAGATTGAATCTGTGATTCTTTCCTGCTGCTGCTGACTTTAAGCCTGAAGCTGTGCAAGACACTCGGAAAGAACGGCTAACTGGCAGTAGCACTCTGAGCTGGTGGCTTCCACAACTCTTCTGTGGCGGAGTTCCCAAACCTTTGCGAGAACATTGGCAAATGTTAAGGCGATGGGTGATAAGACTAGGGCTGAGGGTAGACCTAGGCTGAAGAAAAGCGCAAACAGTGAAACTTCAACCTGTGCCTCATCGGGAGTCCCTCCACGATGGTCGCGTAGTGGCCTGCTTCAGCTGAGCTGCTTCTGAGACGCACTCTCCCTTGCAAAGAACTCCCTTTTGTGCAAAAACCGCTGGTGGAGGGCTCCCTGTCTATGCACTCCGGGGAGGCTGGGGAGAGCTGCTCTACCCCTCACCACTCCTCGTTCAGGAGTGTTCCGAGGTGCACTTCCCATGCCGCTATTGCGGCATTCAGCTCCGAGTCCTCGCGAAAATATTTTTGACGCAGAAGTTCTGTGTCCACATCAAATTGGTCGGGAGAACGAAATGATGTGAGTCTCCCGAACGGCGCCCTCGACATCATATTAGAAACCGGACAGTCGTGACCACCCGAGGTCTGTTCCCTCCCTCAGTTTTGCCATGGAGCTGTTGCTGGGTGGTGGCAGCCCGAGGCTCCTGAGGTGGCATGTGCCCTGGGAGAGGGGGAGCGTCCTCTACTGGTGTCGGAGCAGCCGGGCCTACAGAAGTGGCCGCCTCTTCTTGGCTGGGAGGGGGGGGAGCAGGGTAATGCACTCCTTTTAGCGCAAAGTGCGCGAGCACTCCGATGTCATTTGGAAACTCAAGCAGGTTGCCGTTCTTGCGACAGTGGCGGCATGTGAGTCAGCCAGGCTTGCCCGGATGTAGCCGCAGGCCTCGGGGTATGCAGCGCATGACGTCCTCCGACAAAATGCCAGCATGCATAGTGCTGCTCCTGCTTGATCACGTCCATAATGTCATCGAAGGTGTTGTTGGTGATGCTGTTTTGGACGTCGTCGCAGATGAGTTCTCCGCCAGGCAGAGCCTCCTCTTGATCCTCCGGACTGGATACACGCCGAGCGTCCAGGGCCTCCGACATTGCCTGAGGCAGTCCTTGCAACATTGTGGTGGCGCGTCTTTCACTTGCCCGGGGGTCACCTTTGAAGCCTTTCTGCCAGTTCCAGCATCTGGTGTAGGCCACGGTGATCTTCTCCTTGGTGACGAAGTAGTGGCCGTCCTTGCCGAGATCACCTTTGGTCCGGAGGGCTGCGCTGAACTGCTCCTGCAGAAGGTACACGGGCCGTGGGGGAAATGTTCCAGCCCACTGCTGGCTCCTGCTGCATGTCCTCTTTGAGGAATCGCCAAAGGGCTTTGCAGAAGATCATGTATTCGAGATTCGCGACCTTGCTCATGACCTCTTTGGAAAAGGCGTGCGCTATGGCGCGCATAAACAAGGGGTGTCGAGGCTGGCCATAAATGACGCCTTGGAAAATGTGGTCTTTCTTGATTCCAATGGCCATGAGCAGGAACTCAGACGGCAGCTTGCCGTTCTGAGTTGGACCGAGTCCCCTCTGCTCGCTCAGCTGCTGTTGGGCAGGGCCCCAGTCCTGCGCCAGAAGCCGCAGAAAGAGTGTCAACAGTGACCTTAAAGCCAAACTTGATGTCGAAGTACAGGCCACCATGGTTGTAGTGGTAGATGTGCCTGAAGATGTCAGCTCGGTGACCCGGGTGCTTGAGATTAGAGCACAGGTGCGCTCCATGGACACCAGCATGCAGGGTGAGCGTAGTGAAGAGGGCCTCGTCATTGCAGAAGGTGCGCTCGAAGTCCCTCGTGCCCTTCATGTCGTCGTGGATATAGGTCTGGAAGGCTGTCTTGGGCTTGGGCCTCTCCATAGCACAAGGGTTCCAAAAACCGCCGCAGGATCCACTGTTTGTGGGAACGGCGGGCGGCAATGGAGCCCACCTCCTGCAACGTTCTCGCCTGGCAAAGCTCGGCCGTAGCATGCATCTCGTGATGGACCGTCCCCTTTGACATTCCAGGAGCATACGACTAGTATGTGCACAGCGTTGGGGCGACTGCGTTTCATTGTGTCCAGAGCCCTGCCCAGGAGCAGGCCTATAGCCTTCTGAGCTTTTGCTGGACGAAAGTGGCAG